AAAAAAAAACCTATTAACAGTCTGCAACTGAGTACACTGAAGAGCTACATACAATAAAATAAAACAAAAACGAAAAAAAAAATTAAAAAAAAATCAAAGCAATAGTAAAGAAAACCACAGCGATCAACTCACCCTCCACCTACGCAACCGGTCCACCGGAGCACTTTTAGTCCGGACAATGTCGAACGGCCCTGAAAGCTCATCACCTTCCTCCGGGCAGTCACGGTGGCTGTTTCCAGCTTCTAAATCGTCCGGCGAGGTCCTGTCTTCCTCAATCATTGTTCCGATTTTCCGTTCCAGTCGAGGGAAGATGGTGTCGTTAAAATCTCCGTTCTGCAACAACATCAACAGCAGTGTGAAAAAAAGGATTTCGAGGTAATGCCGCGAAAAAAGAAAAATGACTTGCACAGTAAACGGTAACACACTTTTCAGTTTTCACCATTTTTTTTTCCCACAGTTCAATACCTGTTCTGACGAAGGCGACAGATGAAAGCGTAACAGCAGTGAACGGCGACGATGAAAGCTTGAAGAAGGTGACAATGGCGACGGTGCGGTTCGTTCGATGAAGAGAAAGGCGCAGATAGCGTGAGAAAGAGAGACAGTGAGTGAAATTACTTCGAAGTTTCTCACTGTTATTTGAATTGAAATTATAAATTTAATAGGTGGGATTGCGTACGGTGACGTCCAGGAACTTTCGGTGCCCGCGTCGGTTGAAAATCGAAATACCAATAAAAACAAAGTATTTTACAGTGTGGTGCAAAAGCAGAATAAAAACGAATGAGAATAAAGGATTTCCGAAAAGTGAAAAAAAGTTGGGTTCAACATGACATTATCAGGGTTTCGTATCCACGACGCATTTTAGTCTAATTTTAGGTCACGGGCCTCTTTCTGTGTACCAAAATAAAAAGAAAAGTGAAAAAAAATTATCGAAAAGTAATTTTGACATTTTACTTTTCCTAAATTTCAAATCCCCAAAAGATTTTCATAATATATAGTACAACATATTTTTTTAAATTATTTAGGGAGTAATTTTCCATCAATTTTATAAGATAAATTATTTTTTATCTATATATATGTATATAATTACTAGTAAAACAATTAATAAAATGATATGAGTTTCCCTTTAAAAGACGTTACCACTTATATTATTATTTATAAATATAAAGATGAACAAAAAATTATTGACATATTTTCACTCTGTTTTTTTTTTTTTATTTAATCATGAAAATTGACAGTTACTTTTCTATTAATTAGTTGCAATAAGATTTTAACTTATTTATCACATAATATTTACTACTAATATTAATCAATTATACATCCACACTAACACTTTATGCAAATTATACACTTATAAAAAAATCGTCACATTTCTCGCAATAACCTTTTTTTTTTTTGGTCACATTTAATTTCCCATGAACGACTCTCACCATTCCCTCGCATTGAATATTCATATGAGAATCCAGGCTTTTTATCATGCTACTTATATAATATGTCAATAAATACACGCAACCAGTGACAGAGCTACATGTATCTGTACCTGAGCTTCAGCCCGAGTGACTTCCACAAATTTTATTTAATTCATGTTATGGTGACTTCTACATGTTCTATAATTCTATAGGTTCAGTCCGGGTGACTTCAACCCGAGTAGCTTTAGCTCGGGAACATATTGAATCCTAACTCCGTCCCTGCACGCAACTCTTATTGTAATTTCAAAATTGAAGCAACCAATAGAACATACCCAAATGGGCAAATGGGCATAAGTTAAATATATATTTTTTCTTTAAAAAAGGTGAAGCATTTTAAATAGTCAAATTCGTGTTAAACATACATAAATGTAATCAGATTTCTGGTGGACAGAGAGAATGTTGTTATGCTCGCGATTATAATATGAAATAGACGATAATTTAATTTAAAGAAATGAGCTATAATTTATACTGTATGTTATAAAATGCGAGGAATATAAAGAACACAATGTAAAATCGGAACAAATTATACTTTGCTTTCTTTCTTCACTTTTTTCCGTTTCAACACTACTAGGCTTTGGTCACCTTTTATAGCCAAAATATAGGCACACATTTCTATACATAATAATAATAATGTAGAAGATAAGGTGTAGTGGTAATTCCACTACTTTTACATAACACTCCCCCTTGGAATTACCACTATTAAATGTGCGTTTATGTTGCCTCGTTAAAAACCTTATCTGGAAAAACCCTGTGGGAAAAAACCGAGATAAGGAAAAAGAGTACAGCCGCATATACTCCCCCTCGAGTTATCATCTGTACAAATCTCGAAGATGTCTCATTCCAATGTTGTGTACGTGCTTTCGAAATATTGTCGTCGGGAGTGCCTTCGTAAATAAATCTGTTTCATTATCGCTTGATCGAATGTATTGAACTTTGATTTGTTTGTTTCTTTTGAGCTCTTGCGCATACAGAAGAACTTTGGCGGGATATGTTTAGTTCTGTCACTCTTAATGTATCCTTCTTTTGTTTGAGCGACACATGCTGCATTGTCTTCGTATATCACCGTCGGGTCATTATTGTTCGATAGTCCACTAGCTTGTTGAATATGTTGAGTCATGTTTCTGAGCTAGATACTTTCCCTACTTGCTTCATGAAGTGCAATGATCTCAGCATGGTTTGAAGACGTCGCAACTAACGTTTGTTTCTGAGAGCGCCAAGAGAATGCAGTTCCGCCAATCGTAAAAACGTATCCAGTTTGAGATCTTGCTTTATGGGGATCTGAGAGATATCATGCATCTGCAAAACCGATTATTTCATGTTTTCTATCGTTAGAATAAAACAGTCCCAAATCGATTGTCCCTTGGAGATAACGGAATATATGCTTGATTCCATTCCAATGTCTCCTCGTAGGTGCCGAGTTATATCTTGCTAATAAATTGGTAGCGAAAGATATATCTGGTCTGGTACAATTAGCAAGATACATAAGAGCTCCTATTGCACTCATATATGGTATTTCAGGACCAAGTATTTCTTCATCTTCATCACAAGGTCGAAATGGATCCTTTTCAATATCTAATGTTCGATTGACCATTGGGGTACTAAGTGGATTCGCCTTGTCCATATTGAATCGTTTCAGTATTCTTTTAGTGTAATTAGATTGATGGACAAATATCCCATTTTGGACTCGTTCTATTTGCAAGCCGAGACAATATTTGGTCTGTCCGAGATCTTTCATTTCAAATTCGCCTTTTAGTAAAGTGATTGCTTCTTGGATTTCATTTGTAGTCCCAATAATATTAAGATCATCGACATAGACAGCAATTATCACAACTCCATCTTGTGATCTTTTTATAAAAATACACGGGCATATTTGATTATTTATGTATCCCCGTTTCAGTAATTGTTCACTCAAACAATTATACCACATACGCCCGGATTGTTTCAAGTCATACAATGATCTTTGCAGTTTTATCGCACATAACTCTTTAGGTTTGGACTTTAGCGCCTCGGGTATTCTAATTCCTTCTGGAATTTTCATATAAATGTCTGCGTCTAGCGATCCATATAAGTAAGCAGTCACAACATCCATGAGACGCATCTCAAGATTTTCATGGATGGCTAAACTAATCAAGTATCTGAAAGTAATTGCATCCATAACAGGGGAATATGTCTCATCATAATCGATCCCAGGCCTCTGGGAAGAATCCTTGTGCTACAAGGCGAGCTTTATATCTTGTGATCTCGTTTTTCTCAATTCTTTTTCTGACAAAAACCCATCTGTACCCAATAGGTTTTATGTCTTTAGGTATAATGGTAATAGGTCCAAACACCTTTCGTTTATTAAGCGAATTTAACTCGGCTTGAATAGCACCTTTCCACTTGTCCCAATCATGTCTTTTCTGACATTCAATCATAGATTTTGGTTCAACTTCTTTGTCAATTTCTTGTGATACCATATATGCGAACGCATCATCAATGATCCCATCACGCTTCCAAAGTTTCCCATTATTTACATAATTGATGGAGATTTCAATATTTTCATTTCGTTCCAAAATTTTTTCATCATCTTGATTCTTTTTCAAATTCGAATCTTGAATTTCTCTTTTCTTTCGAGGATTCTTATCTTTAGACCCCACTGGCCTTCCTCGTTTCAAGCGTGCCTTTAATTCATTTGGCACATCGTCATTTGCCATTTCTTTTGTAATCTCAATTCGAGCAGGGGCATTTATAGTTGCAACATGTGATTTTGTCACCCTTTTTGTGTCAGTAAATGCATCTGGCAATTGATTTGCAATATTCTGCAGATGTGTAATTTTTTGAACTTCTTGCTCTCTTTGTTTGGTGGGAGGATCAAGATATGATAGTGATGATGTTCTCCATTCAATATTTTTCTCAATTGACTTTTCATTCCCACCTAAAGGAGGAAATAATTCTTCATTAAAATGACAATCATCAAACCGAGCTGTAAAAACATCACCTGTTTTTGGTTCAAGGTATTTTATTATTGATGGAGATTCATATCCAACATATATTCCCAACCTTCTTTGAGGCCCCATTTTCGTACGTTGGGGCGGAGCAATTGGTACATACACTGCACAACCAAAAATTCTTATATGTGCAATATTTGGTTCTCGACCAGATGACAACTGTAATGGCGAGTATGTATGGTGTGCACTTGGTCTTATGCGAATTAGATTATCTGCATGCAGAATAGCATGTCCCCATACTGAAGTGGGGAGTTTTGTTCTCATTATCAATGGTCTGGCTATAAGTTGCAGTCGTTTAATCAATGATTCTGCTAGACTATTTTGAGTATGAACATGTGCGACAAGATGTTCAACATCAATTCCCACTGCCATACAATAATCATTAAATGCTTGAGATGTAACTCTCCAGCATTGTCAAGTCTGACTCTTTTGATAATATAATCTGGGAATTGAGCCCTTAATTTGATAAGTTGGGCAAGCAATTTATCAAATGCCACATTTCTAGTGGATAACAAACTCACGTGAGACCATCTACTAGAAGCATCAATTAACACCATAAAATATCTGAATGGACCACAAGGTGGATGAATAGGTCCACATATATCACCATGAATTCTTTCCAAAAATAACGGTGATTCATGTCCGATTTTAGTATGTGATGGTCTTATTATCAATTTCCCTTGAGAACATGAGGTACACGTCAATTCACGTGTTTGCAATATCCTCTGATTTTTTAACGGATGTCCACTAGAATTTTCAATAATTCTTTGCATCATTATCGAGCCAGGATGACCAAGTCTATCATGCCAAAGTTTAAACATTTCATTCGCCTGTGACTTTGTTGCAGCATAAGTCTCAATAATATAAATGCGGGTGTAATATAAGCCCGATGATAAAGCTGGCAATTTCTCCAAAACACATTTATTTCACGCAACATTTGAGGTAATGCAAAGATATTCAACTCCCCCTTCATTCATGGTTTCAACATGGTATCCGTTCATTCGGATATCTTTAAAACTCAACAAGTTTCTTGTTGATTTCGGGGAGAATAATGTATCATTCAATGTAAACTTTGTACCTCCCATCATAAAAAATATGGCTTTTCCAGAACCCACAATTATCTTTGCATTTCCAGATATTGTGTTTACTTTTGCTTTATTTAATTTCAAGTTGACAAAATATTTTCTGTCCTTGAGTATAGTATGAGTTGTGGCACAATCTGCAAGACATATATCTCCATTTTGAATTCGAGACCGATCCATGATCTAAAAGAAAACAACATTATTATTGATCAAATTTGAAATACAGATACAACTAGTACAAATACGCAAATACAACAGAAACTTAGAAAGCAATAAAAGAAACAGGATAATCAGTTGTTCTCTTGGTCATTTCCAGCTCTTTCTTCAAATACCGTATCAGCAAAATCCAGATTCAACATGTCATCGATGCCATAGTCATCATCTACACGTGTTGTATTATTTTTAGAGGATTCCCCAACTATAAAATTAGTTTCTACATTTTTATCTTTTGATTTCTGGGAATCATTATATTTATCAACAACGTGTTTCGGAGCACGACAGTTTCGTGCCCAATGTCCCGTCTTTCCACATCGATAACATGCATTTTCATTATTATTTTCCATCACATTATTTTGTTCAAATTTTGGCTGAAAATTTCTCCCCCTTTAAAAATTTTGGGCATAGCCACGGCCTCGTCCACGATTATTCCCTCGGCTCGAGTTGTACCCTCTGTGAAATTTGAAGCCTTGGTCAAATCGGCGATCTGGGCCATATCCACGGCCACGGCCACGTCCACGTCCACGACCCCGGCCACGTCCCGAGGTATTTCCACGCACATATGTCTGGCTGTTTTCAGTTTCGGTTCCCAGTTTAGATATTACAGCATTTATTTCAGGGACCGCAGTAGACCCCGTGGGTCTAGATTCATGATTTTTCATCAACAACTCGTTATTTTGTTCAGCCAA